TGTATGTATGTATGTATGTATGTATGTATGTATGTATGTATGTATGTATGTATGTATGTATGTATGTATGTATGTATATACGAACGAGTGCGATTGAATGGGTGAATGAATGAATGAACGAATGAACGAATGATGATGAGGGGTGAATACTTAGTATTAGATTTTAATTAATAAACTTTCGTTACATATATTAATTAGCCGATAATGGCGATGACGTCTGCTTCGTATATGACGCTGAATGGTTCAGAGCTCATAATGAATATGATTAGCGTGTGATGCAATTATTGGAATAACAGGCACGAAGAAGTGGTGCCTTTGCACAAAAATAGACTATTTCTATTACTCTTGATTTCGATTTTTCACTTGTGTCTTCGACTTTCACAAAGACTTGATCAGAAGAATTATAATAAATTATGTGGGGTAAATCATATCAACATTCATTGGATTGTCATCATGAAGATATCCACATTCTGTTTCTTGTATCACATCTTGTTAACACGCTTTCTCAAATAATTCGTCCGTCTGTTTTTAACTGTTTTCTTTGACCTTGCAAGAGCCTAGTCACTTTGTAGATCAATTTGGTTTATACTGGCAAAGATACAAGCGATAGTTTATTTCTCCTTTCCAAGTCGGTCATCCCATTCTGTCATTGACTCCCTTACTGATATCCAGTAGCTTTATATAACTTGATGTAGTGGTTAAAGTTTAAATTACATGTCATACGACTTGAAGAATTTAATAAGACATTTCAGCTCATGAATAACATCATTCAACAACAATGGGTAAATGTCTTGTGAATTCGAATTAATTATATGCAAGGGATCTGGACCGTGCCCCCGACATTTCACGCTTTGCTTTTTTTGTTTTTGTACGCCGTCAATGCTGCATGTACCGTTTCCATTAAGAATATAGCGACAACATATTTTATTAACGACATATAAATTTGAATCGCCATACAAAGCTTTTGAATGCTGCATAATAGAATTCAGCACTACTTGCATTATGAATAATCTAAGCATAACATCTTCTGACCACTGACGAGCTGTGGCCCTTTCATATCGCACGTTGCCCAACGGCTATAATGTTTATCATTTTCATCTGCTCATTAAGCGTTTTTTTATGCATGTGTAAATATTGTCATCAACACAGTCGCGACTTTTTAGAGATATTGAATGACGCGTCCTACAAAAGTATGCGATTAGCTAAGCTACATCGCATGCATATTTCCACTGCCGCGCACATCCATGTCACAGATATGTAAAAAAGCATCAGTAATACGATAGGAAAAACCTTACTACAGTTCAAAATTTTAATTACATGCATCGTGTAATTTTCCGTTTTAATAATGCGTCAAGATATTTCATCCGCGGTTGGTCAACCTCTTTTACTCAAATTTTGGTCAGGTAAATTCAACGACATGGACCATTCGCTAGCTTTGACCGATTTGTCAGATCGTTGTTTCGTGCAGAAATCTACTTGATTGTCTTTTCAAAAGGTTGTCAGCAGATGGTCTAAAGCGGAGCTAAAATACAATGCAATGGATACTCAAATATTTAGCATAACAAATTCTAGCCACTTGTACTTGATTTGTGTGGCCTAACTCATCCAACCATAAATTAAACATTACGTAGAAAACGTTCAAACCCTAGGAACTCCATAACTAGTCGCCTCATTAACAGATTTTTGACGGAATTTGGTAGCAATTGTCACGTACTTTTAAATACAATACGGTCGTGAATGATTTTGTTGTGACGTTTTCAAGCGAATGCGTATGCGTTTTTCACAGAAACATGATCACATACATGTACAATGCAAAAAACTTGTTACCAAGCATTTCATTTTATCCTTGGTAAAATGACAGAGCAAGCTGAATTTTGAACGTGAAATTTTCTTATCGTGACAACGTTGTAATTAGGTACGTTTAGCGTTTGTTGTCAATACAATGGAGTAATAAAATGAGTCTAACAAATACCGATTCCTCTGAATAAAGTATCGATAACACTGTTATACATGGATACTATACTTTAATCGAGTTAGGATTATGTAAATTGTCTTTCCATCGGATATGGTACGTTGTACGCACGTAAATTAAAAGGTCTGCATCACGTAAGGATAACAAAAATTTGCAACTGTCTCTTTTATTACAACATTTTCTTGTTCTACATCATCTTGATGATTAATGTACGCTCAATCAACTCTATTTGATTGCTCTTCTAATGAGCATGACGTTTATGCTGCGATATAAATCTTTCTTTCCATCATTGATGATAACCATCAACTTGAATTTTATGTTGACCCTTAAACTTGATAACGGTGCAATTTCAAATTATAATATAAAATTATGATGCGTGTACATTTAAATAACGTAAGTTAATTTGTTCACCGATCCAACATGTTATTTTGATCGCGGATTTCTTAACATTAACATGTCGTGAAAACTCCCAAGCTTTTTCATAGCCAACAAGACTTTTATACATTGTCGTATGGCATGCGTCTTAAAGTCTGTATGGTTTGTATGACACAAACATGATGTTATGCATAACTTTATTCATATACATTTAATTAATATTTGTGTTATGAATTGAGAAGAAGTATATCTTAATATAAATGCTTTTGTACGAGGCTGTCGATTGGAATGTTTGTAAAATGAATAATTTTAGAAGAGTATGACATGAACATCATTTACGGGCATCATCATTGGCTGTCTCGAAAAGTATTTCAAATTAAAGATAATTGTGCAACGGATAAATAATTAGTCAAAATTACGAGCACAGAAAGTCTATAAATATTATTATGCATGTAATATTCAACGTCGCTTTTATTTAAACCTCAAATTTTTGAAATAAATATTCGACGCTACTGTGTGTTCTCTCACTCATCCCACTTACAACAGCATCTATCATCGATGACTCTTACACGTCGTACGAAGATTTATACGACACAATTCTGAACACGGTTTTGTTTGCTCGTTGTTGAACGCTTCGGGTAAAACCTGGGTCGATAAAACATACGTTATTGCCACCGCCGGACGATATATTGTACAATACAGTTACTTGAGTCGCTCCATTAACCGTGTCATTTGTCTATAACGACTCGCTGGCTGCAAAAATATTTCAATTGTAAACATGTGTTTACATATAACTTGTGCTCTGATTGCAATAATCAGATGGAGACAAATTTACGATGTCGAATATGCAGTAGATCTTGTCATGTTAAACTTTTTAATATACTTTCCTGTTATTGTAATTCCAGTGTTCTGGGTTGTTTATTTGGTGACTAACTATCTGGTTGTTTCAATTAACTTGTTTTTTATCACTTTTTTGGGAATTCCGTTGGCGTTAGCACTCATTTTTTTAACATTTGCATGTATTTATGTTGATCAGTTACCCGCTAAAATTGCTATCTTTTTTTAGTAACAGTAACCAGTTTTTATACTCCAAACATTTTGCAAACATTATTAATTATGTTAAAGTGGCCCATCAATTTTTATTTTGTAAAAACATGCGTTTTTGTATTAGCACTGTCTTTGACTAGAAATGTATTTACTTTACTGACGAGGTACCATGTGACAGCGTATATTCAATGTAGAATTCGTAGATGGATAGACAAAAATACGAAAAAATAGATCCAGTACCGTTACTCATTTTCTTTAGCAAAATAATAACCAATGTGTTAAAATATATCGCATAGTAAAGCCAAGGTTGTATGTATTTCAAAGATCTCAGTATCAAAATACGATGTGTATAATTCCCTTTATGCGTTTGTTGCGGTCCTCAAGCCATCCGGAGTATCGTCTAAAGTTATTGTCATTGTTATCGTGCTTGTGTGTTGGAAGTGAATATATTCTAGCAAACTCGCTCACAAGTGTTGCTGTGCATTCTTCGCTACTTCCAAGTAATACTAACGTCATCGTCTCATCATAGTAAACGTTGTCAATTTGAGTTGGTTCAACGTCGGTGATTTCCTCGTAAGGTATCCATTCAAGTCTCAAGTACGGCTTCTCACTTTCCAAGGAGGAATCAACCAAGTTGTCAATTGCAATAGTCCCTGATGCCAACGACATGTTTGAATGAACAAGTTTCACTCACTCCTTTCAGAAAGAGCATCTCATCTCATCTCAACGTTTATTGTATTACGTCACACGGGTGTACCGATGGTTGTAAAAATTGCGCCCAATGTTTCATAACCTTTTCTTTAAACTGAGAACAGCATATCTTAAGTTAAGTGACTATTAATGTATAGACGCTATTACTATGTTGAATTCAATGAGTATCCGCAGACATCTGAAACTGGTGTTACAATAGTGTATGATGTTTCTGCACCTGAAGAAGACAGAAAAGCTTTTGCTTTAAAAAACATACAGTACTTGATATTGATTGGTGATCCAGGTAATAAAGGTTGAAATTTTCTAGCTGTCAATTCTTAGGTTGATATTAATATCCACAAAGGAATAAATGTGTCAAGGAGTTAAAGCATGCAAATATGCCACATACTGAAGTTGATTTTGAAGATCAACTTTTTAGGCATCTTTTTGATGCACATGAATATTCCATTCGGAAGCAAAAACCCTTGGGTATGTTGGCAAAATGTTGGCATTGTTTATGTGAACGGCGATTTGATCATATGATTGCTGCGGTACTGAGATAGA